GACCAGGGGCGCAGTTGAGAGGGGTGGGGTGGGGTGGCGTGCGGTGGGATGCGGTTGAGTGGGTTGAGATGGGGTGGTTGAGGTGGGGTGTTGCGGGTCATGGGGTTGAGTGGCGCGTGGGTTGTGTAGACACCTAGCGTGCAGGAGGGTGCGGTTTGGCCTCAAGGTGGTTTTGGGGCTTTCTACTGGAGGGGGCTGCAGCAGCGGGGAACAGCTACACCCTGCTGACGGGGTTGCCCATTCTGCAGTTGTCGTTCGCGCCACCACAACTCCCCTGCCCCCTCCCATCTCCTCACCCCATCACACACACGCACCCACACCCACACACACACACACACCCAGGTCGGCCCAGTTCTGATCCACGTGATCACAGAGAAGGGCCGCGGCTACCTCCCCGCTGAGACCGCCGCCGACAAGATGCACGGCGTGGTCAAGTTTGACCCCCGCACTGGCAAGCAGTTCAAGGCCGGCCCCAGCAAGGCCGGCTCCTACACCAACTACTTTGCCGACAGCCTCACTGCCGAGGCGCAGCGCGACAGCCGCATCGTCGCAGTGCATGCAGCCATGGCTGGCGGGACAGGTGGGTGGGCTGGCAGGCGGGGGGCCGGCAGACGGGCAAATGGCAGTTGCGCAGGCCGGCGGACGAGGAGGGGGCAGGCGCGTGGGTCGCAGATGGTGGCCGCGTCTTCCTCGGGTCTCTGCTGGCGATAGCAGCAACCCTGCAGCCGCCGACGTGCGCACGCGGCTCGCCGGTGCTGTGAGGGAAAAGTGCGGCGGATGCCTCTGGCGCAGGCGGTCAAGGTCGCGCCTGGCCGCAGCCGCGTCGCCGGCCTCGCGCGCCCCCTCTCTGTCTTCACGCCTTGGCCTGGCCCAAGTGTCACCCCGCCTCGCCCGCTGCGCCGACCCGCCTCCCTCTGTCAGGCCTGTACCGCTTTGAGAAGCACTTCCCGGAGCGCACCTACGACGTGGGCATTGCGGAGCAGCACGCCGTCACCTTTGCGGCCGGCCTGGCGTGCGAGGGCCTCGTGCCGTTCTGCACCATCTACAGCACCTTCCTGCAGCGCGGGTACGACCAGGTCGTGCACGACGTGTCGCTGCAGAAGCTGCCAGGTGGGCGGGGCTGCGGGGCAAAGGAGTGGGTTCGACCACGATGTTTTGGGGGTTTTCGACAAGCGGGGCAGGGTGCGGAGAAACATGGCAGATTTTCCTGGCAGGGGAGCTGGTTTGGCGGGCTACGTGGCAGCTGCTGGCACTTGTACTGCGGCGGGTGTCAACAGCAGCGAGTTGCGAATCGTGCGCCAGCTGGCGCGGCAGCGGGAGGCCGGCGTAGCAGAGGCAGGCTTTTCCAGCGCATCAGGCAGCTA